TTCTTGTCTATGTTTATTTATTTATTTATTTTGAGAGAGAGTAAAGAGGACCGAGCAAGCAAGGGAGGGGCAGAGAGAGAATCCCAAGCAGGCTCCTCCCTGTCAGGGCAGAGCCCGAAGTGGGCTCGAACTCACGAACCATGAGATCATGATGATCTGAAATCCAGAGTTGGATGCTTAACTGACCAAGCCACCCAGGTACTCCACATTCTTTTTGTTTTTTTTTCCCTGATATGCCCCTCAAGTTTTATTGATCAGAAAAGGAAAACCTTGGAAGAATGCTAGAACCTTTTTCACTGTGTAGGAACTCTTACTGAGTGATGAGTTCTGATTTCTTACAGTTTGCCTGTTTGTTTTAGGCGCCCACCAGCTGACCTCTCCTCCTTCTCAGTCAGAGTCTCTACTTGCCATGTTTGATCCACTGTCTTCACATGAAGGTAAACTAGTCAAATGAGCTTTTTGACTCTTACCCTGGGCAGGAGAACAGAGCCAAAATCCTTTGTTAATGCCTTTTTTGGCATTAAAATGCCTAGTTCTGTCTCAGTTGCAAACTTTTTTTCCTCTTGTTCCAGGGGCTTCTGCTGTGGTAAGGCCAAAGGTTCACTATGCCAGGCCATCGCATCCACCACCAGATCCCCCAATCCTGGAAGGAGCTGTGGGAGGAAATGAGGCCAGGTTGCCAAATTTTGGTTCCCATGTTTTAACTCCAGCTGAGATGGAAGCATTCAAGCAAAGGCATTCATACCCTGAAAGATTAGTTCGCAGCAGGAGCTCTGATATAGTCTCATCTGTCCGGCGACCTATGAGCGATCCCAGCTGGAACCGACGTCCAGGGAACGAAGAACGAGAACTCCCTCCAGCTGCAGCCATTGGTGCTACTTCTTTGGTGGCTGCACCTCATTCATCATCTTCATCCCCGAGTAAGGACTCCTCAAGAGGAGAGGTATGGGACACAGGCCATATCGAAGAATTGTGCTGATTGTGGTCAGCTTTAGTGTTCTATCTGCCTGGCTGTCTTGTTATCTGAAATTAACATGGCATATATAAATCTAAGAGGAAGGACAGACAGTAGTTATGATTAAGGGTGATCTGTCCATCTAGTTTGTCCACAACTGTGGTCCATGGGAACCCTGTACTGTTTTGCTTTTGTAGTAATATATTATGCATTTTTGTGACACTTTTAACTTTTCTGCAAGCAATTTTTTATTTAATTTCATTTAAACCTTACAGTTTCCTTCTGAGTTGAGAAAGTAAATGATTTGTCTGAGGCCACATGATAGGCCAGTAAAGGAATTACAGTTTCTGCTCTTTGACATGTGATCTTAATAACTCATGATAATTGGTGATCAAAACAAGAACTCTGAAGTTGGTTGGATCTGGGTTTGAGTCCCAGCTATGCCACAGGCAGACTATGTAACTTTGGGGAAGATGGGGAGATAACCTTTTTTAGCCCCTTATTTCTCATCTATAAAAAGTTTAATAGTAGTATTTATCTCCTAAGGTGACTGTGAGGTTTAAATGGGACTATATATATCCTTACACTCAATATTTGTCACGCAGTGCATACTCAGTTTTATTAGTACTACTACTGCTGTCGTCTCTGCTACCCCTCTAGACTTTATTTGCATTACGCTTACACCTTCCCTAAGTATTTATTGAGTGCCTGCTGTATGCTAGGCTCTGTATTAAGGTTTCAGTTTATTAACAGTAATGAGATAGTGCCTGCCCTCAAGCAGATCATAGTCTGGTGCTTAAAAGGTGTACTTCCATATTTCAGAAGCAATAAGAACAGTTTGTTTTTAAGACAAACAAGAGTGGTTTTTGTATTTCACAGACAAACTGAAATCCTTTTCATAGTAATTTATCCTGCTGTCCAACTCCAAATAAAGCATCAAACTTTTTCTACAGACTGAAGAACGCAAAGATAGCGATGATGAGAAATCAGACAGGAACAGACCTTGGTGGAGAAAACGTTTTGTTTCTGCCATGCCTAAAGGTAATTTTATAAAATATTAGAATTATATTAGCAACAAGAAGCAAAGCCCCCAAATCTCTTCCAGAGAGCCAATATGTCAACTTCTCTGTGAGGCTTGCTGGGCCTAAGTTTCTAGCTGTTTTGAGGGTATAGAAAATGGTTTCACTCAGGTGAATGCTAAGACAGACCTTTAGAAATGATAGTTCTTGTTCATTGCATGAAGTGGTAGTGGTTTCATACGTGGAAGTCAGGCAGGTGACGGCTGTTTAAATATCATATATTGTTGAAGTTAAAGATAGGACTTTTGACATAGGTATTGCTAATAATTATTGCAGGAAAAAGGGATGCTATTGGTAATTAAACATTGAAAATTTATCCTTTACATTCCTGGAATAACTTAAGCTTTTTATGGTTATGTTCGTTGAGAATGTTTATATCCTGAATATTAGTGAGTATTTTGGAAGGCAGTTGTATAAAATCGTTTTATTTGCTTTCTCTTTTTTTTTTTTCCTTGTGAATAGCCTGGCATTGTACCAGTAGATATTGAGAATTGAGTTGACAAAAGCGTCTCTTCCTGCAAGGAGAGATCGTCCAGGATTAAAGCTAGGGACTTCTTCTGAAGGCCTCTTCTCGGCACTGTGGCACTCAGGAGCTGAGGAACACTGCTTTCACGCCGCACTCAAGCCCACTTGATGAGGAGAGAATGAGACTGAGAGCTTTGAGTGTGTTGTTTTTGAGCAGAGGTTAAGAGGCAGTGGTTTTGATTTAGTCCCAATAGATTCGAATTAAATCATTCTTCCTGTGGCAGATGACCCCAAAGCAGATTCTGCAAGCTTCTGTAAGAACCTTCAATGCTATCTTAAGAACGATTATCAGTTGACACTCGGGATTTCTTAGCTTTTAAACTTTTCACCTTCCTTTCACTTAGAAATGTTGGCACACCAGTTAATACTCCAAAATGACTGCTGTCTTCCGAGTAGTGCAGTATGTTATATGTCACACTACTGACTTTATTTAATTTCCAGCTCCTATACCATTTAGAAAGAAAGAAAAACAAGAAAAAGACAAAGATGATCTGGGGCCTGACAGATTCTCAACACTCACAGGTTTGTAGACCATGGACTTCCTGGCTCCTTCATTCCCAGAGCACATATTTCATAACACTTTTTCTTGGGTGCCATAAGCGTTGCCTTTCTAGAAGAATGTGTTTGTGTGTGTACAGTGGGGAGTATGTTCTTCATAGCTCTGTGGTATCCAGTTGGTGGCCACAGTGAATCTCAGTGTGCTCTTCCTGCAGACCGCCACCACCATCATCATCCTCATTATCATAACTTCTGTTTATGAGGAGGCTCCCGATCCTGGGCCTCTAGGCATTCCCTACAACTCGACATGTCAGTGGGATGATGACACGCAGTGCCTTTTAGGAAAGTGTGGTGATGGTTCTAGTGCGATGCATGCCACATCTTTGGAACGTTGATTGTATAGTTTTCGCTAATGTTGATCAGAGAATTCTAAATTTATTTCCATCTATAGTTCTTGATTATTCGGGATCATAGGGAAATTCTGCTTGACCTAATCGTTTCCTTTTTGTGTGATAAAATGTTCAAACAATATCATAAATTTATGAACTTTGCCAGTTTTTTACAGCTTGAATCCTTTTAACATTGCTGTCTGGCCCAAGGAAAAGACACCTAGGGGTTGGGTTTTACTTTATTCAGCATTTGTATTTTTGCAGCTTTCTGTTTGGCATATTATGAATGAGCACCCTAAAAGGAATGAGTTTGAGGAGTAGTGTTAATGACCCAACCTTGAGTCTGATAGCTTTGTACTGTTTCCGAGGACTGTAGAGCATCTAGAGGGAAATTAATTTCTCACCTCCTTTTTTTCTTACCTTGATTTTCAATTATGTTATCCCACTAAGTTAAAATGAAGATTTTTATTAAAAAATGGCATAGGTTTCCAAAGAACATCCTCCTCAGAGAGCTCAGTATAGTACAGGTAGAATCCCATTTTAATGCATGTTATTCTAATATCTGGCTCCTTCTAATTGGATGTATTTCCATGGTCTAGCATACCATCTGGTGAGGTGACTTTGTGGGAATGAAGGGCTTTGGAGAGCAGGAGCTGGGCTTCCAGGCCATGGTTCTGTGGGAGAGCCAGCAAGCCTCTCTTATTCAATCAGCAAATACTTTCTGGACATCTGACTCGTGCCAGGCACTGTGCTAAGTGTTGTAGTTATTAAGTCAAATCACATGTCCCGTCTTCTTCAGGAATTACAGTCTGATTGAGAAGAATTGGAAACATTTGTTTCCTGTCCATGTTCCTAGTATTAGAACACCACCAGCATTTATGGAGGGAAATTCTTATAATGAAATCTGTTTTTAAAATGTCGAATCAGTCATTGGAGAAGTTATAAGTTATTTTTTACTTGTGTCTTTGGGCAAACATATTTCTTGGTTCTTGGTGCCTAATCTAGAAGCTAAGTAGGGTAAGTTTTTTTCCATAAGATACTTCATTTTCTTTGTATTTGATTCAAGCAACTTAGATTCCCTACTAATGTAGAAATATTTCTACCCAGTTCTAATTAGTTACCTGTTGAAAATTATCATTAAAACAATTTTTAAATGTTATGAAAGGATATTTCTTAACAGTCTGTCCATAATCCAGTCATCCTAACTGTTCTTTATTTTTTTTTCCATGTTCTTTCTCAGTCTTTCCATATTTGTATGTGGCTTTTTCATGACTGAATCAGATTATATGTGTAACTTTGCATCCTTCTTTCACCAAATGTGATTTCATAAACCCTCTCCAGTTTCTACTAGACATGGTTGGTTTTTAATAATTTGTAGTGACTCACAGATAATCTGTCATATCATTTTATGGCCTCCTGAATGTTCTCTTACTTTTGGATACTTAAATGGTATCCAGTTTTTTACTGTGAAAATAATGCTCACAGCTTCATATATACAGCATTTTTTGTTTATTTCCATTATTTTCCTGGGATAAAATTCTTTTTTTTTTAATTGTTAATGTTTATTTGAGAGAGAGAGGAAGAGAGAGAATCCCAAGCAGGCTCTGTACTGTCTGCACCAAGCCCAATGTGGGGCTCGATCCCACCAACTGTGAGATGATGACCTGAGCTGAGGTCAAGTCAGATGCTTAACCTACTGAGCCACCCAGGTACCCCTTCCTGGAAAAAATTCTTAAGAACGGCATAGAATTAGAGGTTATAAGTGACATTATGGCTTTACGATTAGCCAAATTTTATTCCCTTTTTCAGAGCCCTCAACAGCACTCAAAACCAATAGCAAAAAGGTACTCCCCTTCCAAAGAAAGATTTTGTAATGATAGATGTTTTATCAGTTTACATTTTGAAGATCAGATTTTATTAGAACTCTTTTCTCATGAATTCAAATACCATTACAGCAGAAAGATTCAATTACTTTGGAAATCCTCTTTTTCTGTAATTTACTGCAATTATACAGAGATATGGATACTAAATTTTATTTTCCATGGAAACGGAAGAGCCCATGAGCATATACTGCTTAACCTTTCTATACCTGATTTCCTCCTCTAGAGAGTGAAGGTGATAAAAGTACCTCCCTGTAGGGTTGTTGTGATGATTGAGATTGTTCGTAAAAGGTGCTTAGCACAGTTTCTGGCATGTGGTAAGTGCTCAAGAAATGTTAGCTGCTATTATTATTAGCTGCTATTACGCACACCCATATATAATCTAGTGATTTTTTATGTGTTGTTAGACTTCTTGAAAAATGGGATTCTACCGGAATACGGACATTTGTGGTTACCTGCTTGGTCTGGATCTATGTCAGGAGTTTGCATTTCACTATAGAACTTTATTTTGTCCCATGGATCTGTAGCAGCTCTTTGCTTTGATGACTGTTAATTAATGACTCTGCCATCTTAGGCTCCAGGAACACATTTCAGTGTGCTGATTTTGCTGACAGGATAATGGTCCTGAAAGTAAACAGTGCTCCATCTGTGATTGTGATAAGCTTTTTCTCCCTATACCCCGGGTACATTTCCAGCACTCTCCAGCAGTGGCTAGATTCACAAAAGTGCTCTCTTCCAGCAGCTTCACTGTCATGGTCAGATTTAGTGAGACAGAATATTAATATCTAAAGGTTTGAAATGTGTAGAGAGAGAAAGTCATACAGCAAGAATGGAAGAAGGCATTTTTTTATTATTTAAAAGGGATTAATTCTAAATTTGATACTTTTTTTTACCCTTCAGCATGGAGATGTCTGAATAAATGAATCTGCCTATAACAATGCATTGTTGGAAGTTCTGTTAGCATGCATTGCTAATAACAGTGACTTGAGTTATAAGCACTTTAGAAACCCATCATCCATTTAGTCTGCACTGAATTTCTTAACACCATCATGCAGAATTTTGGCGATGATGAGAAAGTGGAGCTAATCCTCCCAATTGCGTGCTTTGGCAAGGCTCTCAGACCTAGAAATGGGACGAGCAGGCAGCTGCATGGTGCCTCTTAACATTGAGATATGTGCTCTTTTTAAGTCTCACCTCCTAATCCGTCTTTGGGATTATGCTACTGGTATCATACTAACATCAGAGTTGGTGCAAACCAAGGGAAGCTAATTCTCTCACTCTCCTTTCCCCTGCAGATGATCCCAGCCCTAGACTCAGTGCACAAGCTCAGGTCGCTGAGGATATTCTGGACAAATACAGGAATGCCATTAAACGAACCAGCCCCAGTGAAGGAGCAATGGCAAACTATGAAAGTACAGGTGATAATCATGATAAAGATTTGAATATAGTTAACCCTAAACAGTGTGGGGGTGGGGGGTGGGGAAGGGGGTAGGGGCACCAACCTCCTGCATAGTTAAAAATTGATATGTGACTTTTGACTCCCCCAAAACTTAACTGTTAATAGCCTGCTGTTGACTGGAAACCTTAACAGTAACAAATAGTTAACACATATCTGTATGCTTAATACACGTTTAATACACTGTATTCTTACGGTAAAGTAAGCTAGAGGAAAGACAGTGTTGTTAAGGAAATCATTGTTAAGGAAATACAGTCACAGTACCGTATGTATTTATTGAAAAAAATCCATGTAGGGGTGCCTGACTGGCTCAGTCAGAAGAGCCTGTGACTCTTGATCTTGGGGTTGTGAGTTTGAGCCCCCACTTTGGGTGTAGACATTGCTTAAAAATAAAATTAAAAAAAAAAATAAGGAAAGCAAATCCATGTATATGTGTACCCATGCATTTCAAACCTGTGTTGTTCAAGGGTCAACTGTACTAACTTTGGTATCACAGTGAAAAAAGTGATCTGAATAAAAAGTAGCTTTTTAATAGCTACTTTGAATAGTGTTCAGAAAAATATGGTATAATCCCCATGATGAAGAGGAGAGGAAAAGTATATAGTATATAAAAGCATAAATTGTATGCACATGTGTTTATGCTTGTATGTGCACAGTGTCTCTGGAAGAATCTGACAAACCTGTAATGTGAGCTGGCTCAAGGGAAATTCATAGGGAGCACAATGGGAAGCCGGAGTAGAGGAGAACTTCCCATACTTATTATTTTGAAAAAAATAAATAACAACAGATTTGAAAGAATAGTACAGTGGAGGTCCATATTCCCTCTACCTTTATCAGGTGTTAACATTTTGCCACCTTCTCTCCATGTATTTTTTCCTGAAGCATTTGAAATTATCTCCTAATAAACATATTTGCCCTATGTAAGGACAGGATCTTTATTATATTAACGAATTTTTATTCCTTTTGATTTTGTACATGAACATATTCTCTAAATTGGTTAATTAGAAACATAAAAACTGCTGCGGGAACCACGGATCTGTCCTGGCTGCATTTGTGAGTTCGTCCCAGCTCATTCTTGGGCAGTGGGAAGGGCGCTCAGGTCTCCCAGCCTCCTTACTAGGGTGCGTGGTTCACCTCAGCAGCCAGCTAGCCCAGGGCTTTTACAGCAAGCCACTTTCTGACTGGGCAAGACCCCATGTCTATAAAAGAGGGTTTTATGTAGAATGATTTTTGAGGCTCCTCTTGGTTCTGTGGTTCAGTGAATCTGATTAGAGCATTATCTGTTTAGTCACAGACGTTTGTTGTTTTGAGTTAAGATTGGTACAGGAAGTAAAAATCATTCACTTCTCAACAACTGCTCCCTTGATTTATTGTCATTGCTATCAGCTTGTTTAAATGAAGTGCTTTTCCTTCTTTCTCAAAGCACTCCGGCTGAAAAGCACAGTGCAAATTTATTGTTGAGTTGCTCTGAACACGTACTAGTGCTAGGCCCCCAGGTTAACCTGCTTATCCTCTCTGGGGGTGGGTTTGTGTAGAGGTCATGGGTGATGGTGAGAGTGCACAGGACTCTCCTCGTGAGGAAACACTGCAGAACATGTCGGCTGATGATCTCCCGGACTCCGCGAGCCAAGCGGCCCACCCTCAGGACTCCGCTTTTTCGTACAGGTATTTCTTTGAGAGGATTGCGAATTTGTGGGTTTGGACTTTCCATCAGCACTGTTGTCACTGCAAGTCAGGATTCATTGAGCCATCTAGTAAATGTATAAAGCAGGGGAGTCGTCTGGGTGGCTCGTTCAGTTGAGCATCTGAATCTTGATTTCGGCGCAGGTCCTGATCCCATGGTTGTGGGATCGAACCCCACATCAGGCTCTGTGCTGAGTGTGGAGCCTGCTCAAGATTATCCCTCTGGCCTTCTCCCTCGTTTGTGCTCTCTCTCTTAAAAGAAAAAAACCAAACCAAAAAAAAAAAAGTATAAAGCAGAGAGAATGAATGAAATGCAGTTTCCTGAGAAAACCTTGCTTCACTTTGGATTCCATACATCAAACACTTTAATTCAGGAGTGAAAAAACAACCACCTCGTGTGCTCACAGGGGCCACATACGTCCTTTAAATGAAACAAGTGGCAGTGCCTTTGCAGACCCCAAGCTCCCTGCCCACGTGGGAAATGCTGGGGGAGACCAAGTGGGTGGTAGGGTCAGCCGCAGTTTCAAGCAGTAGAGTGATAGAAAGGGCTTCTTGTCGAGTGGTGAGCTTGTCTCGTGTCAAGATCAACCTTTCTCAGGAGACCTGGTGGACAGTGTTCTTAGTTTGGATGGTGAGATGGTTCTGGTGACTTCTGTGGTCCCTCCTGACCCTGGCATCGTGGCGCTTTCTCATTCTCCTCCCAGTGGCCGTTGTGGGATTTGGTTTATGTTACAGGGTCCAAAAGGATTTGTTTGATTCTGGTGACTTTACAGAATAGTCCTGGCTCAGAGCATTTTTATATAGCCTTGCTCCTCGGGTAACAAGTAAAGCCTGTTCCTTTAAGTGAGCTGTCAGTAAATTAAAAATTTTTTATTTCTGCTCGAAACATCTGAGTCCTGACGTAGCATATTAGTTTGTATAGTGAGTGTTCATAAAATATGACCATCTCTGGATAAAGAAATTAATGTACTTTTGGTTCATTCTTCAGAGATGCAAAAAAGAAACTGAGACTTGCTCTTTGCTCTGCGGATTCCGTTGCTTTCCCAGTGCTAACCCATTCAACAAGGAATGGTCTACCAGACCACACAGACCCAGAAGGTAAGTTTTTCCTGTATTTATAGGTTGGATCATATGAAACCGCCTGTATTCCACTGTATTTAAGCTGTGTAACAATTCCATATGGTTTAGTTCTGCTGATCCATGGTAGAGCAGAATGGGATATCCCAAAGGCTGAGGGATGGTATACAATGGAAATTCTCAACAATAACAGAATTCTGTTGTTTGTTTGTTTAGACAATGAAATTGTTTGCTTCTTAAAAGTTCAAATAGCTGAAGCAATTAACCTACAAGATAAGAACTTAATGGCTCAACTTCAAGAAACTATGCGCTGTGTGTGCCGCTTTGATAACAGAACTTGTAGGAAACTGCTGGCCTCTATTGCTGACGACTACAGGTAATTACCCAGCTTGCTTCACTTGTCAGCCTATTTTCAGCTCCAAGTGTCTTTTTTTATTTCACAAGTGAATCTGGGCTTACTGCAATGTGCTTGGCTGTGTTTACCTGGATGACGAACACGTTTGGATATTTATCTGGAAGTGTAGTTGTAAATGAGCAGTTCTGACTAACAGAGAAATTCAGTTTCCTTCAGCTTTGCACAGAAGCCGTGCTAGCAGAGATGAGGCCAGAATAGCTAGGATATCCTTCTCCTTTTTTTCGGGGTGATAGGAAAAACTATTTCCTGGAGTAGGGAAGGAGTAGGCCTAAAAAGTGCTGCCCTCTGTCTGCTGCTAGCCCTTTGCTAACAGTTCAGGAGAAGAATGTAATAGAGATCCTTGGGAAATGAAGAGGCCCCTGGGCTTAGGGAATGGGCACTTTAATGATTGTTACAATTAGACTCTCAGCAAATAATTGATGATAACGTTTAATGGTCTAGTGGTGTATTAACCTATATTTTGTAATTATTTTAGTCTTCTATAGCTATCAATTTCCTGTGAAGTATGAGGTCCTATCCTACCAACATGGAGACGGTGGGCCAATATAAAATAAACCAACGATGCCAAGGGACTTAGTAGCATTTAGTGAGTTGGGTAGCTAAGTGTTCAGCCCAGTAGACGTTATTCTTCACAAATACGCACAATGGTTCTGTTTCTTAAGCAGGCAGCATTATTAGTCCTCAAGACACTTGTCTGCAGCCTGACGTGGCTAATTGGTAAAACCAAAGTCTATGAGAGAAAAAATTAAGACTCTTAGTCTCCAAAAAAGTGTGCACTGTACGTATGTGATGTCCTGCAAAGCATATTTCCTTTTAGGAAAAGGGCCCCCTATATTGCTTATCTCACTCGCTGTCGGCAAGGACTGCAGACCACACAGGCTCACCTGGAAAGGCTACTGCAAAGGGTCTTGCGGGACAAAGAGGTGGCCAATCGATACTTTACCACCGTCTGTGTAAGGTTGCTGCTTGAGAGCAAAGAAAAGAAGATCAGGGAATTCATTCAAGGTAACTAAAGACCTTTAGTTGAAGCATCTCTTCAGCCATGGATTCGTGGGGAGATTTGGAAATTTTTGTTTTGCTAATTTGAGTATCTGCATGTCTACAAGTAGTCCCTTAAACTCCCACGTGTTTTATGGATTCTTAATTAAACCTTAACGTCCAACCAATACGTTCCATTTTTATCCTGGATCGAATATCTGTAGTTTATACAAAATTGGGAAAATTGGTTAGAGTTTTGGATCCTGTGTATGTTTTTCTCACATTTAAAAATAAAGCATATCATTTTTAAAAAGCTTTTAACTTTTTAATTTTTTAAATTACACTATAATTAATATATATATGGTGTTATATTAGTTTTAGGTGTACAGTGTAGAGATTCAGTAAGTCTATACATTAGTGAAAGTATGTCATTTTTATATCGTTTTTAAATTTTTATTTTTTTTCCTAAAGTCAAAAAAACCTTTTTTTTTCAAAGTATGTCATTTTTATGACAAACCCCTTGCTTTTAAACTTTTGCATATTTCTTACGTATCTTCTGATTTTAATGATCTGACCACATTCTCCTAAAATAAGCCATATCCATATACACTTTTGGCTTTAAGAACATAATACCTGCAGAGCTAGTGATTAAAATGATTTCTGTAATTTCCTTTTTAAGATTATTCAGATAGTATATTATAAAAAAATCATTATTTTGCATTGGAGACTTTCAGAAACTCACAGCAGCTGATGATAAAACTGCTCAGGTAGAGGATTTTCTGCAGTTCCTTTATGGTGCAATGGCCCAGGACGTCATATGGCAGAACGCGAGTGAGGAGCAGCTTCAGGATGCTCAGCTGGCCATTGAACGAAGTGTGATGAATCGGATTTTCAAGCTTGCTTTCTACCCTAACCAGGATGGGGACATACTTCGTGACCAGTGAGCACTCCCATGTTTACCGCACCTGTGTTGACCACGTAGGGGTACATCAGCCAGTCCCGTGTTTTACACAAGCTGTGCATGAGACTTAGCGATGCCAGTAAAGGCAGTGCATGCTATCATTTTCCCCCATCTGAGTGACCAGGGCAGAAAGAAGGATAGCACTCTGTTTTCAGGGAGTGGGGAATTGGGCTGGAGGGCATATCAATCGGTATGGCCTTCCTGGAAGGCCCTGCTGCTATTCTGCCTTAGCTGTTCTCCCCTTCTTTCCTCTTCCTGCTCTTCCTTATCCTTCACATCTTGACTGCAGCACCACTCTTCTGACCTTTCTGACCAGGGTCAGTCCCTGGCAGGGCTCTCTCGGACCTGCGTACCTTTCTTTAGCACTTGCCACTGTTGGGGTTTCACATCTGGTAGAGCCACAGTTCCTCGGCCTGGCACTACTGGCACGTGGGGCCAGGTAACTCCTTGGTGTGGGAGGCTGCTGTGTGCCTTGCAGGATGTTTGGCAGCATCTCTGGTCTGTACACAGGAGATGCTGGTAGTTCCCCACCAGTTGTAAGAACCAGAATGTCTCCAGACATTGCCAGATGTCCCTCGGGAGGAGGGGAGGTGCAGAATCACCCCCTTAGTGATCCCTGCTGTGTGTGGTCATCTGGTGAACGCTTCTCTCCTCCACTGGATTGTTGTCTCCGTGAGAGCAGGAACATAATGCTGTTAGTTACCACTCTGTCCCAGCATCAGGCACAGGACTTGACTTCTGTATGTATGCTCATTATTTATTTATTAAGAATGAAAAACTGTATGTTTGAATATCAAAAAATATCTGGAAATCTATGATGTATGAGTCATGTCTCGATAAAGCTGGTTTTAAAAAGTAATCCTAAAAAAAAATTTATCCTGGAAAAAAAAAAAAAAAAAGAAACCTGGAGTGGTAACAGTGGTTATATTTGGGGTAATGAGACCGTGGGTGATTTCTCATTTTCATTTTCCCTCTCTTACACTTTCTTGAACACTGCTTCACAGCCCTGTTTCTGCCATGTTGAGGTGGCTACTCTGTCCCCAGCAGTAACACCCACTTACTGTGCCAGTGACTCTCAAGGGGTCCATGTGATAGGACCTCAGGATGAGTCATGAATGGTTAATAGAAGCTTTCTTTCACAGAAATGCTAAGGTCTTACATGTATGTTTGAGAGCACTCACTCTTCTGTGAATGGGTTAGGGTTGTTCTAGCCTGCCTCTCCCCCTCTTCATAGTCTAAGAGGCACACCCCATGGGGCGTCTGGGGGGCTCAGTCAGTTGAGCATCCGACTTCGGCTCGGGTCATCTCACGGTTCGTGGGTTCGAGCCCCACGTAGGGCTCTGTTCTGACAGCTTGGAGCCTGGACCCTGCTTTGGATTCTGTGTCTCCCTCTCTCTCTGCCCCTCCCCCGCTCACGCTCTGTCTCTCTCAAAAATAAATAAATGTTAAGAGGCACACCCCGGCTTCTGTGCCTTATTCACCAAATGGGACATATTTTCTTTCCGGAGACCAGTTTTTAGCTTCCAGAATGGGATAAATGGGAGTAGGGGCATTCAGACTGTATTTCCTGCAAAGAGCAGTATTGGGTACCCTCTCCTCTGTGGCATGTCTTCAGGTGTTCTAGAGTGCACAGTTAACCAGTGCTCTGGAAAAAACAGTAGAAGCCAGGAAGGCTGGGTTTAGCGCCTGCTGCTAACCCTTGTGTGACCTCAGGCAAGCCTTTCACCTGTCTAAGCCTGATTATTTTCATCTATGAAATAGGAGAGAGGTTGAGTGTTCTCAGAGTCCCTTCTCTGTCTGAGCTTCTGTGGTCTTTGGTTTCTGGCTTTTAATCCCTCTACTTCCTCTGTGCTTTTTACTAATTAGTGTGTCCGGGCGGCTTCTGGGCTGGGGCTCCTCCCCTTTCTCCTTTGGAATGCTGAACTGGGCTGGGAAGGAAGGACTCCCCTACTCTCCTTGCCTCCCCTCAGCCCACTGAGCATTTCTAAGGAGATCCTAAGTGTGAGACATTTTTGACAAGAGGGAATACTTACAGCTAAGCGTCTCAACCGTATAATTGTAATCTGTATCTCGAAAGAAGTCGTAACGTTTTAAATGTTTTGAAAAAAAAAAACATTTTTTATGTGCCTTTTTTTTCTGAAATATGTATTTACATATGTGTTTTTGGCGTTTTCAGAGTCCTTCATGAACATATTCAGAGATTGTCTAAAGTAGTGACTGCAAATCACAGAGCTCTACAGATACCAGAGGTAATACAGTTTTATGTAGTATTAGTAGTTGCTTGATAACGCTGTATGCATGTTCGGAACAATTTGCATTCGAGGTATTTCTAACTTTAAAGTTCTCAGAGGTCCTAGGATTAACGTATCCTGGCATGGAAGGGGCCTTGGGGAGAGGAGGAGGAGGGCTGCACTGAGGGGCCCCTGCCCAGATGCCACTCAGCGTGCGGGCGGGGCTTCTGCCTACACCTGCTCCGCCTGCAGCAGCCTTGCTCTCCAGGGATGTTTTTATAGCCAGGTTTCTGCAGAAATGTCCCATTCGAGTAAGGGATCTGGTGGCACTCCACAGAATGTGACAGCTATTCCAGGGGAACAAATTGAATCTGAATGTGACATCAAAGTTACCTGTTAGTGTCATACAACATCTACAAAATAATGGAAAAGTTCAGGTATTTGACTTTTCTGGTTGTTTTATTAGTGTCCCCACTAATGAAATGTCAGTATAAGTTTATAAATTACCTTGGTTTTTTTTAATCTGTTCTTTCTAGAACTACTGCAACAAAGGTAACATATTTTTATGATATTTTCCTTCAGAAGTAGCTTGTTTGTACTTTTAGAATCAGCTGCTCCTTGTAGATAAGTTCCATTCTAGCTATTTAAGAAAGATAATTGTTTGGCATTTTATGAGGTCTAGGTTGGTGTTATCATATGTCCTTTCCTCTATTAATGGAGGATTGATTCATTTGAAAATGCAAAGCAAATTATTTAAAAATTTACTAAGCTTCAGTCTTAGTGGAAGGGAGGGAACCACAATCTGGTTTTACTGAAGAAAGGAAAAGGCACCAAGCTTACCCTTCTGCTTCCTGACATGGAGGTTGTCCTGGTCGCTTCCTGTAGTTGCTGTTGAATTCAAGATTCGGGTCTGTTTGTGATCTCGCTTAGGTTTATCTTCGGGAGGCACCATGGCCATCCGCACAGTCAGAAATCAGGACAATAAGTGCTTACAAGACGCCCCGGGACAAGGTGCAGTGCATCCTGAGAATGTGCTCCACGATCATGAACCTCCTGAGTCTGGCCAATGAGGACTCCGTCCCCGGAGCAGATGACTTTGTCCCTGTTTTGGTATTTGTGTTGATAAAGGTGGGCCCCTCACTACTATTAATGAAGAGAGTTTATTTGGCGGTTCCAAGCAGGTTGGTGCGGGGCTTCACGTGCTCTTCCCAGTCTCAAGCTCTGTGTTACCCAGAAAGAGTCTAATGTGAAGTCTTGTTCTGTCCAAAAGTTAATATTTTCGAAAGAAAGGATAGGAGGACCGGATTCCTAGATGAACATTTTCCACTTTTACATGCCTGAGGTTCTTGGTTGGGGCTCGGTATGTAATTATTGAGTGAGTGAATGAGGGAAAATTCTTTTTATTGTGCTCTTACCATCTTCTTCCACACTGAATTCCTCATGGTCCTTGTCACCTGAACCGTCAAATCTACCAAACACCTGTCTCCTTTTGGCCTCTTATTTTGTAATTGTGCCATGTTATCTTTTTAAAGGTTTGTTTATTTATTTTGAGAGAGGGAGAGAGAGCAAGCAGGGAAGGGATAGAGGGAGGGAGAGAGAGAATCCCCAGCAGGTTCTGGGCTGTCAGCACAGAGCCTGACGTGGGGCTTGATCCCATGAACTGTGAGATCATGACCTGAGCCGAAATCAGGAGTCAGATGCTTAACCTACTGGGCTACCCAGGCGCCCCTGTGCCATATTATCTTAAAATGTACTGGTGTCTCTTGTGTGTGTGTGTGTGTGTGTTTTGTTTTGTTTTTTTTTTTTTTTTTTTTTTTTTTTTTTTTTTACTTTAAAATTGAAATGTCATCATTTAAACGGTTTATTGTGAGCATTTTCAGGGGAACCATGCAGTTTGGGTGCACACAGCTGCCAAATGACTGTGTCACTTGTGTGTTCCAGTTAGCTCAGACCACTTGTTGACGTCTAAAGTATATCTGACATATGTTTTACTAATTCTTGATATTGCGGTATTTCTGCAATCTGAATTCTTAGCTCAGTCGGCAGCCTATAGGATCAGTGTGCGGTCAGCCTTCCCGACTCCTGCTGTCGGCCGTTGTCCTTGTATCTTTCAGGTGTGATGTGTCTCGTTCTTTGCAGAGCCAGTGCGAGCTCGTTCTGGGGCACAGGCCTTAGTGTGTCCCCCCAACCACTTACAACGCCTGTGTCCTTTCTGTCTATGTGAAAAAAGTAAAAAGCAGGAGATGTTCTGTGTTACCTCTGGCAACTCACCATATTATCTTTTTAGTTTTTTTTCTTTCTCAATTAGTGTACAGCCTTTATTTCCTTATCTAACATTCTGGAATCCTGGGATGTGTTGAGTAAAGTCCACTAGGATTAGTTCAGCCTCCATAAGGACCAGCAAGCTTCATTGACTTACAAGGATAGAAAGGTCTAGATAGTTCAGCTGGCATTAGAACCTGAGTTGCCTTTCCAGTATACCGTTGTTACTCATAGTGGCTAAGGTTTATAAATTGCTCCCGAAGAAGACTTTGGGGATTATTTTCAAATTTTTTTTTTTTTTCAACGTTTATTTATTTTTGGGACAGAGAGAGAGCATGAACGGGCGAGGGGCAGAGAGAGAGGGAGACACAGAATCGGAAACAGGCTCCAGGCTCTGAGCCATCAGCCCAGAGCCCGATGCGGGGCTCGAACTCACGGACCGTGAGATCGTGACCTGGTTGAAGTCGGACGCTTAACCGACTGCGCCACCCAGGCGCCCCTGGGGATTATTTTCAAAAGGACTGGTGTCTCTTTCATAGGAAGACATTGGAAGATGTTAGCTTAGATGGTTTTTGCGGAGTTGTACATCTGAGTAATTGACTTTCTTCGTTTTCACTTCTCTAGGCAAATCCACCCTGTTTGCTGTCTACCGTCCAGTATATCAGTAGCTTTTATGCCAGCTGTCTGTCTGGAGAGGAGTCCTACTGGTGGATGCAGTTCACGGCAGCGGTGGAATTCATTAAAACGATTGATGACCGGAAGTGACCAAGACCAAGGCCCACCGAGGCAGCAGACTGTTAGGCGGGCAAACAGCTCTCTTAGAAAATGTACCAGCTGCTTTGAAGGCTGAAGATTGTTTTTGTATAATATTGTACAGCGTTCAGACATTTTAAAACAGATCTTTACTAAACAGATTAATGAGCTAACAAGCAGGTTCTCTTTTCTTTGGGCTCTTTTCTTTTCTGTTGCATATTTGGTTATTTTCTTGTCCCAAGTAGAGACTAGTACTGCAAAAAGGGACCACATTTTTCAGGTATTTTGAAATATTAAAAAACAGAACAAAATCTAGAAAATTCCTAGATCTCCATTCACGAATACCCATTCTTTCCTTTTATTTAAAAAAACAAAAAAGAAAAAGAAAAGAACAGCACACCTCTTTTTAGATGCTGCGTAATCTTCTATGCATCTAATGGAAGGAAAATAGCAGTTGCACTGAGGATTATAATAGTGGTGACATTAGTGGCATTATATAAATACACTCACCTAGATCGAAAAGCTAAGAAGGAAATGTAAATATAATATATATTTATATTTGATGTAATATGGACATCTTCAGATTCTAATAAACAAGGAATATTGCTGATAGTAGGTTGTGACGTACCCTCTTGTGAAATGGTTTCCTTGACAAAGTTTAAGCTGAGCTTAAAAGCAAAAAACAAATACACAGAAATATTTATTAAAGTGTAAAACAGTTTCTTGAACTGTCTAGGTGTGGAGTTTGATGCACAAGGCTGCCTTTGATGAGGGGTATAACAATCACTTAGACATTCCTCACCACAGACGTCTTTGAGCCTGCAGGAGGAGCGAGGTAGACTGTTTAATCGCCATGCGTTACATATAGAGGAACAGTAGATACCTAACATGTTACTGTGGTACATACTAAATACAGTGTAGAAACCCCAAACAGAACTCCTTTTAAACCTTTCATTGTAATATATTTTTGATGATTATTCACATTGAATGACAGACCAGGAATTCAGTGAATGTCATTTTTTTAAAAACTAATTTGTATTGTCTGCTCTAGTGATACAAGTTTTACTAGTGATAAACTATTTTAATCAACCATATTATTCTTATGGAAAAAAAATCTATTTTGGCAGGTTTCTGTGCCTTTATTTCCCTCTTCTGAACAAAAGTCTGGGTTTCAGTATTTTGGTTTGATTGTATATTGATAATTAATCAGGAATGGGTGTTGGTGTGTGAGAAATTGGCTAGGGAGGCACACCAGAGCTTCAAGCACAAGTCTGGGGTGTAACTCATCCCCGACTGCTTTCACTCTGTATGTTTCCTAAACTTGGTTAGCTTCTTTTATAACAAACTCAGTCCCATACTTTGAGTCCCTTGTTGCTAGCAGCATTTCTAGGCATTTTTAAGGGAACTGTGACAAACAGCGGTGAGCAGATGAATCCGGAGGCCGTCTTCTCTCCGAGACCTCTGTGTTTAATTGTGCCTAAAGAAGCTGGATTTTCTTTATGCTCCCATCTCTTCTCATTCATTTATTTTAGAATACCGAGATAAGTTACATAGGAGTGTGGGATGTGGTTTCTGCCTTTTAGGGAGAGATCAAAATTAAACTAGTACTACAAAATGTCCTTTTGAATGTTAGGTCAAGAAATCTGTGTAGAGTCCTGTGCTTCATGGGCTGTGACTGTCAAACCTGCCTACGTATTAGAAGTCAGATCCTGTCATTAAATACTTTACAAGACAAACAGTCTGACACGATTTCTAAGACCTAGGGCGAGTCCATTTATTTCAGTATTTGATTCAATAAATGTTAAGTCAATAGAAGACTTGGAATAGTTGAAATTCATTTTTATGGGCTTTAACAGATTTTTTTTCCTCTCCAAATGGTTGCTAAATCCATTCTGTGTTATCACTATAGAAATAAATACGAAGCTGTGGACATTGCACAGGGCTCTTTTCTGTGGAGGAGAAGGTGGTGAGTTGTGGGTGTAGGGTTGTGCTGGAGGCAGGAGGTGAGAGCCATGCAGTGCTGGGGCCAGGGGTGAGGGTGGAACCCCAGGGACCTGGCATCCGATTACACCTCTGAGACAGAGGCCCGGGCCTGGGTCTTAACTCGGGAGCTGGCCGAGAAGCACAGCCCGGCTCTTTAAGGAGCAGCTACATCTCCCTCTGCAAACCCTTTTAGGAGCAAGAACCAATCAGCATCAGCCATTTTGCTGGCTTGATTTCATGGCATGATTTTCTTATAGTGTTGATTTCTGAATTTAGGAGTTGGTGACTATCTGCGTGGCAGCGGTAGGGTGGGAGACAGGGAGTAATTTGACTTTGCTCCTTTGGGAAGGAGGGATAGTTGTTCTTTGGTTCTTATTACATTTCCTCCCAGCACTTATTTTATATGAGGGATTAGTGCAAAAGTATAAAATCACCCATAGGAAACAGTAGCCACTGAGTATTATGTGGAATTTGCAATGATGTTGTTAAATGGAGAGAGAGTGGCTCAGTTCACTGAAATATTCTACAGTTAACTTCTCTAGTGAAAAATCAGTTTATATTTTGTGTTAATATTCTGCTTCCTGAAAGTTAAGCAGTAGAAACACAGACTGAGGATGGTCTTCATAAAATTACTATTTTTTTTAAACCTGGTAAACGTTTTTGTTTTCTTTCTCCGCTTTAGTTTACGTCTCAGCCCCAGGAATTGCTGGCTTCTGCTTTTTCTTTTTAAAACCTGCTTATGAAAGCCTTTTTTTATACAGATATTAAATTGCTGTAGTAAGAGAATTAGGCTTCGTGAGGGATTGAAAATAGATGTGATGCATGGTTTTCCCTTTTCCTGTTGTGTCCTGGAAGCCTTTGTTTAATCCAGACTTTCAATATACACTTTGCTGAGGTGCTAAGCCAGAGAACAGGACCCTGGCCCAAATGGTGGTGAGGCCGCGCTCTCGTCAGACCCAGCAGCTGAGCGCGCGTGCCCATCCAGCACCGTCTTTGCGTAACCTGCCATGCGGATTCCGGTTTGAGCCAAGTAAAGGTCAACTTCATGTTTTAAATGGGTGAGGCTTTAAAGACCCCGTTCTCTGATGTGACTGGGTGTGGAAAGGGAAAAGGAGGACCACACTTGCTCAAAATTATTAGTGGGTTGCATGGGAGTGATAGAAATGTAGCGGGGTTAGCTTCTTAAACGTTTTCCTCCTGCTTCTCCGTTCCTGCTTTATTTCTTTAAGGAAAAGTCTATATTTGCCCTCTTTCTAGTTCTTTTAAATCTAGTGAATTTATTCTGTATTTGATTGCTATAATTCGGGGGGTGGGGGGAAATCAGAAACCATCTTGAAGCTCAAAGAATTTTTAGTAAGTAGATTAACAGTGATGAGGTATTTTAGATATTTTGAATGCCAAAATGCTTGAGAATTTGCCAGGTTAATACTTAATATACCTTAGAATGTAGGTTACCCAAGATGACCAGGAACGGCTTTATTACCCTGGAGAACACTTAGAGAAAGGGAAACATAGTTTGCACATTGTCACGGTTGGTGTGGTTGAGCTATGGAGTCACGGTGGAGCTCATGTGTCCCACAGGCCTGCGCTCAGCAATGGTTAAGTTCGAGAGTGGGGAGGTCCTCTCCACTTGGTTAATGGCAGACAGTGCGGGCAGGGGCCACACGCCTTAAAAATTCACCCCTGCTGAGTTGATATTCTGTCTTGTTTACCGTATTCTTGTGCTTCTCCTGTACTAAAAAGCTTTGTACTGCCTCTCCTCTCGAAACTGATAAAACCTTACCTAAGCCTCAGTTAATGAGCTTGCACAATCTTGTATATGTACAGGAGACTCATCCTGTCTTCTAATGTGATCACTAATGTACAGTCTCATTCTGTAAAACTGATTAAAAAGGGAGAGCAGTTGAATTCACTGCGTTTTATGTTTCCATCATCTATTTTGTACGCAGAAGCATTTCTGAAAGTTTCTTTGACTCCAAATACTACTAATGTTCTCCAAGAATTCACACTTGCCTTTTTTTCATCTGAACATCTAAGGATATTTGTTAAGTGTGGTCCAGGAAGGAATTAGAATGAGCTAGCGGTTACTAACGAGATTGTGAACGTTTACTGTTTTAACACAGTTTGTATCTGGCCCTTGTATTTGGTAGCGATTCATCAGCCTTAGTTCTGAGAGCAAAAGTCCTAATCACAGTATTCCCTGAAGCCTTTATTAACCTTTTCAGCCCAGGGGAGGTGCTATTAGACAAGGAGCCCTTGTCACAAGCTCACTCTGCAGGCTTCCCTTGCTGGTGGAAAGGTGCTTTCCCTGTATTGATTGCTCCTTATTTAGAAGGAAACATTAAAAAATTTGATTAGGGCTCAGTGTTCATTCAGTCTGTTCAGTATTAAAGTTAATGCTATCACTGGCCTAAAACTGGACATAGAATTCGACTCTACTTGCCAACTTGGCATTACCTGTGTGCTTGGACTCCTGTTATATTTGTACCCACTCAACCCTTCTCTCCCAAGAAGTGGCTCTGTAGCTTTTCCCAAAGGAGGCTGAGCCAGTGGCACTGTTTAGCTAAGCCTCCATGCAGCACTGCCTGTAAAACGTGTCATGATCCTGAAAAGGGAAATCCTTTCTCAGAAGCTCCTCTTGGCTGTAAATGTGTCCTCTGCCTAGAGATTTCAGTTTTCATCGGAGAGCTTTTGCTTCGGTCATTTCGTTCCAGGAGAATCCTTTTCCATCTTCTTGGTGGTACCAAAATGCAGTACATAGACTTTTTAGAAAATTGACCAAAGAGGCTGGAAAATCTCTGGTTGTGAGAATCCTGAAAACATCTTCCACATTTGGGAATAGTGCTCAGTTCCAAGTCATTGAACCTGTTGTGGATGCTGAACATGAAAACCACAGTAGACCTAATTCTGTTAACTAGGAATTCAGCATGTCGCTGGCCAAAACCATTAAATTTTATGTACCTGTGAAGAGTATCTGATGTGATTTTTTAAAGTAAGCTCTGCCTAACGTGGGGCCTGAACTCACAACCTCGAGATCAGGATTAGCCCGCTCCACTGACTGAACCAGCCAGGTGCCCCTTTTAATGTGATTTTTAAAAATATAGGACATTTTCACTTCAGCTTTCCTTACTGCTCTTAATTTGTAGGCTTGACAAACGTTTTTTAACCAGGGCTGTTGATTAA